TCAACTGTGAGAGACAGAATGTGAAAAAAAAATCCATGAATTCACATGGTAGGATTTGTAAAGAATTTATTCGTAAATAGGGTGGAAAATAAGTATTTGGTCACCTCAAACAAGGAAAATCTCTGGCTCTCACAGACCTGTAACGTCTTCTGTAAGAAGCTTTTCTGTCCCCCACTCGTTACCTGTATGAATGGCACCTGTTTGAACTCATCATCTGTATAAAAGACACCTGTCCACAGCCTCAAACAGTCAGACTCCAAACTCCGCCATGGCCAAGACCAAAGAGCTTTCGAAGGACACCAGGAAAAGTATTGTAGACCTGCACCAGACTGGGAAGAGTGAATCTACAATAGGCAAGCAGCTTGGTGTGAAAAAATCAACTGTGGGAGCAATCATCAGAAAATGGAAGACATACAAGACCACTGATAATCTCCCTCGATCTGGGGCTCCACGCAAGATCTCATCCCGTGGGGTCAAAATGATCATGAGAACGGTGAGCAAAGATCCCAGAACCACACGGGGGGACCTGGTGAATGACCTGCAGAGAGCTGGGACCAAAGTAACAAAGGTCACCATCAGTAACACACTACAACGGCAGGGAATCAAATCCCGCAGTGCCAGACGTGTTCCGCTGCTGAAGCCAGTGCATGTCCAGGCCCGTCTGAAGTTTGCCAGAGAGCACATGGATGATACAGCAGAGGATTGGGAGAATGTCATGTGGTCAGATGAAACCAAAGTAGAACTTTTTGGTATAAACTCAACTCGTCGTGTTTGGAGGAAGAAGAATACTGAGTTGCATCCCAAGAACACCATACCTACTGTGAAGCATGGGGGTGGAAACATCATGCTATGGGGCTGTTTTTCTGCCAAGGGGACAGGACGACTGATCCGTGTTAAGGACAGAATGAATGGGGCCATGTATCGTGAGATTTTGAGCCAAAACCTCCTTCCATCAGTGAGAACTTTGAAGATGAAACGAGGCTGGGTCTTCCAACATGACAATGATCCAAAACACACCGCCCGGGCAACAAAGGAGTGGCTCCGTAAGAAGCATTTGAAAGTCCTGGAGTGGCCTAGCCAGTCTCCAGACCTCAACCCCATAGAAAATCTGTGGCGGGAGTTGAAAGTCCGTGTTGCTCGGCGACAGCCCCAAAACATCACTGCTCTCGAGAAGATCTGCATGGAGGAATGGCCAAAATACCAGCTACTGTGTGTGCAAACCTGGTAAAGACCTATAGTAAACGTTTGACCTCTGTTATTGCCAACAAAGGTTATGTTACAAAGTATTGAGTTGTATTTTTGTTATTGACCAAATACTTATTTTCCACCCTGATTTACGAATAAATTCTTTACAAATCCTACCATGTGGATTCATGGATTTTTTTTTTCACATTCTGTCTCTCACAGTTGAAGTGTACCTCTGGTGCAAATTACTGACCTCTGTCATCATTTTAGGTGGGGGAACTTGCACAATCGGTGGCTGACTAAATACTTTTTCTAAATCAACCAATACTACTAACAATAGATGTGTTTAGTGTTTTACAAAACTATTATTGGTATAGTATTGGAACATATGCCAACTATCAAAAGTAGAAATTGCAGTACAAAAATGTGTTTATGATAACTGAGAAACTGAAATGCTCAAAACACAGTTCAACTTCCTCTCAATCAGAAGCAAGTATTATATTTGATGCTGGTGATCAGAGTCTTTAAGGATTCTGGATATACCTTCAGAATAGGTAAAGCGCTCCACCTTACAAACGACGTCCAATAAGCTTTTCTGTTTATTTTTTTTAATGGCTAAAAACTGAGAGTCACAAACTCTCCTTTTAGTTAGTTATTAAAAACCTAATCTGTCCATTTTACTGTGAATGGGTTTTGTGTACATTTAGTTAAAAATACCTGTCTTCTGTGAATACAATGTTTGGGGTACAGAGTGCAGCTGTATTTTGAATTAATAAATTAAGAAATAATGAATCTAGCCAGATTTCATTTTGGCTGTTTAAAGGGGAAAAGGCTGAAGCTGAACAGCTGGAACTGATTTATAGATAGTGGCATGTGATCTGAAAGCTGCTTTCATAGTCTAAATGTGCATGACAGAAGCTGTACAGTGAACACAGTACAAGCTTTGTATACCACAGTGGCATCACTGTTAGCTTGCTATCAAACTGCACATCAAGTCTTAGTGAGGAACCAACTGAACAACACGCTTTCGTTGTATTTATCACAAAAACACGTCCTTCACGTCGTGCTGGGGATTGTCAACTATTCATTTTCCACGTGCCGAGGCGATAAAGTCTTATTACACTGTATACCATCTTATAATAATACCATCTTAAATAGCCGACGCAGCTAACGTGCTAGCTTAGCCTCTGCTGTTACAGATCTAGCTTAGCTAAGCTGTGGCAGAGACAGCCGAGGCTCACCTCGTTGGGAGAAGGGACTCGGTGTTTGCAGGAACCGTGACAGCTCACTAGCACGGCCAGAAGGGAGAAGAAAAGGGCTGGGCTGAGGAGGAACCAGGACACGGACGGCTTGCCATCCCGGCTTAACCTCAGCTCCATCCTCCAACCTGCCCGACAAAAGGGGCTTGGCAGCCCGAAGTCAACAGAATCTTCGCCGGTGTCGGTCCGGTCCCTTCTACTTTCGTTTCGTTCATCGCTTGCGCGGTGAATCAAAACATGTTAACATCCCGCAAAAAATAAATGAATTAATGAAAAACAAGCGAACAAATTCAAATAAGTTATACCCGAAGTGAAAAGAGCAGTAAAAGCAGTAACGCCGGCCGGTGAGGGGATAAATATACGCCTGACAGCTGCGGCGGTCCTGGTTTGTAGCTTATGTCAGCTGAGGGTGCACTCCGAAGATCGTCTGTTGTCAAGATGATTCACTCCCCCAAATGAAGCAAGACAGCGCTCCAAAGATCATATTTTGGTAGGATGAGGTATATTCAACAGATATGGTACATCTTTTTCCTCTCTCAAAGGGGCAAAGGAAATAAATAACAACGTTTTATCTTTTTTTAGTGCGGAGTTTAGAAAGGCATTTGCTTTAAAAGCTTGTATAATATTATTATATACAATACAATATTATACAATATTATATACAATATTTTTCATAAGTTTAATTATTTATAGCAGCGATACAGATTCACAAATCCATAAAAAGTTAGAATCCGTCTAAAAAATGTACTTGAGACATAATTTTACGGAGCCCTGCAAGGGACATGGGAGAAAAAAAATTAAGAAAAACTTTGGGGTATTATTCTTGTGAATTGTGAAGACATCATGCTTAACCAAAAATTTGAAGAAAATGGGTTAGGTTCATTATGGTTCCCTTCACTTCAAAGTTAATGCCTGCCTCTTTTCTTAAGGCAGGTCTGTAAAGCTTTTCACTTTTTCCACCATGTGATGCTGTGTTCCCATGCTCTGTGGCACCAAAACATCAGACACATGAGGTAAATGTGATTACATCTGAATGCCCATCATGGCTTAGACCATCTCTGATCGCTGTAGCTAATGAGAATCCACCCTGTGTCTGTTTGATTGTATTAGCTCTTGTTTCACTCTGTTAGGAAGGTGAAAAACTCCAGTGTTACATGGTAATGACTTAAAATTTTCATTTTAACGGAACATTTTAAGTCAAATTGTAGCACCAAAAACATGCATATTTGGTACGTTTTTTTATGTTAAGTGATCGTTTCTTTCATTGTAATAGGTATTTATTTCTCATGTGTTATGGTTATTGTATTTTTCAGGCTTTAATGAAAAATTCTGTTTTGCTTAGCCGGCTCCAAAACCATCTCAGTGCCCAGCCCAACCCATAAAATGCTGCTGTAAAGTTTTTGTGGTTTTCAGCTTCCCTTTCATTTGTTTCTTCTGTGATGTTGGAGATTTGCATTTTCATTATGGTTAAAAAAGAAAAAATAAGAAAGCATAAATCTACAGAAGCACCGGCTTCAAAAGGATTGCTTGGTAAGGATATGATGATATACACACTGTATATTTTCAATATTTTCTGACATTTTATATTTTATACGTTTGTTGATCAATGTCTGTGTTAGTTTATCCCTAACAATCCTGCGACACTTACTCTCCCTTTCCTTTTTGAAAGCAATCTAACCTATTCGATCTTTGTCTCTTGTCTCCCACAACAAACAGAATCAACAGATTTTTATTCTTTTATAAACAAACTAGGATGAAATAGCGTATGAAGTGTTCATTCCTAAATTTGAACAAACATTTATTTAAAAAAAAAAAAGGTTCAGAAATGATCAGAAAGTGAAAGAACTTACTTCTGAATCATCACATTTAATTTTTGTTTTTTAGCCAGTAGTAAAATGGATTTCATCTTTACATTCACAGGTACACAACAACTTCTGCTGGCTAATGGGCATATTTTTTTTCAGTGTAAACAAATGTAGGCTAAAACAGAACATAGATAATTCAAACAAATAATCATTTTTATTATATATGGTGCATTATCTTTAGGTGGAATATCTTTTGTCAGATAGAAACAAGCTAGAAACATTGTTACTTAGCTTTGTATCCACCATAAAAATGGTTTTAAAAGTTTTAAAACTTTATTTTTTATAATGAACAACACTATATTGTTTTTCAACATATAGGTTTTTAGACACTAGATTGTCATTCAGGAGCTCAGCTGCCATCCATCCCTCCTGAGGAGCCAGTGCACAGCTGGCTACTAAAGAGCAGCTCAGTCAGTGTGTGGACCCCTCTTAGTGAGCATTAGTGGTGTATTCAGCTTATCTTAATGAAACTTTGTTTTCTTTGAGCTTCTAATGAGTAGCTGGTATCCACTGGTAGCAGAAGTGAACCTTTAATTTGGTTAACCATCTCCTTTATCTTTCCTCGGTGTGTTTTAGTTTGTGGATGTCGTTTGTTTAGTTGAAATAGCGGTGTTGCCGACTTTTTGAGTTGACTCCTTTATTAATTTAAACTTAGTTTTTCACAATTTGTTCTGTTTGGCTTTTTCCTGTTATACCATTGTTATTCCACGTCACGTAGCCCTTACTCTCGGATATATAACATGCTCATTAAGGCAAATGTCTGATCTAATCTAAATCTAATCAGCCAATCACACGGCAGGAACTCAATGCCTTCAAGTATACAGACAAGCATCAGAATGTGATTTTAGGTGACTTTGAATGTGGCATGCTTGGTGGTGCCAGACAGGCTGGTCTGAGTAATTCATAAACTGGTGATCTACTGGGATATTCCCACAGAGCCTCTCCAGGGCTCACAGAGAATGGTCTGAAAAATAAAAAATATCCAGTGTGAGGCAGTTCTTTAAGCCAAAAAGCCCGAGGTCAGAGGAGAAAGGCAAACCACTTCAAACTGATAGAAAGTTAACAGTAACTCAAGCAACCGCTTGTTACATCCAAGGTATGCAGAAGAGCATCTCTGAAAGCACAAGCAGATGGGTTCTAACAGCAAAAGACCACACCAGGTGCCACTCCTGTCAGCAAAGGACAGAAAACTGGGACTGCAATTTGCACAGGCTCACCAAAGTCAAGCACCAGATTGGAAAGAAGTTCCGTGGTCTGAGTCTCAATTTCTGCTGTGAAATTTGGTGTAATTAATGCAAATGCATGGCTCCATCCTCCCTTGTATCAACGGTTTAGGCTACTGCTGGTGGTGTAATGGTGTGTAGGTTATTTTTAAGCTGTCATGTCAACATGGACCAAAATCTCAGAGAAATGTTTCCAGCACCTCGGAGAATCGTATTTTAAATCCATATGAGGCCACTCAAACAGCAAAAAAGGGGTTCAAACCAGTGATAGCAAGATGTATAGAATTGAGTGGCAGATAAGTTTATATTATTAGCATTTATAGTAATGTCTTTCAGAGAAGTAATTGAAAAGAAGAAAATACACCAAGGGATGAAATTGTGTAGATGAAAAAAGTCAAATTTATTCTTTAAGATTTTTTTTATCAAACAAACATAAAACCAGGAAAAAGATTTTTCTCTCCTGTTTATTTATAAATGTAGGTTATAGTCACATGACCTACAGTAGTAGGTTATAGTATAGCAATGATAAGTCACATGTCACAGCCAGTATAAAAGAATAATACCGTGACAAAATGGAGACCAGCTCCAACAAATCAAATCTTTTTCAAACTGTTCAGCGATCAGCAACTGCCAGCAGATCTATGACTGATTCGGGTGTCACATCCTCAGCAAACGTTTGCGAAGAAGTAGGTCTGTCGTTTAAGGCACAGTCAGTCTTTGGTTCATTTCTGTCTCCTCTGGTCTTTTGCTGGAAACATCCAGGAAGCAACAAAGAGAAAACACACAAATTCGTAATAAACAAAATCCCTCTGTTGGGTGACAACGGCTGTGTTCGCACTGCCAGATCACTACACGACAAAGCAAAGGGGTAAAAATGGCACCAAGAGTGGGTGTGCTTGAAATATCTCGGAAAATGTACAGTCTAAAAAACATGAAATTTGGGGCCATTCTTTTCTTTATGATTGTCCCTCTAGAAGTCAATATAAAATGGCAACAGTGCAGTCATGGGGTTGCTGGTATAGATTTTTTGCTTTACACAAGTTCAACCAAATTGCACAACAATGAATTATTCTTTGGTTCATATAAAGGTTTGTCATACTATATGTTGGACCATTTTGTTCTATTTATTTATATATTCTTGTGGGAAAACTTCTTTTCTTCACATTTTATTTGAGAAAGATAACACTACCTAAAGATTCTCCAGACTATACAACTGTGAGTTTAAAAGTTTGTGTAAAATCCCTCTCCATGTTGAGATGTTCCAGTCTGCACCAGTGGTCCATTCCCATCTGTTGAGACTGAGCTAAACTTCCATCTGAGCAAACTGGGGCAATGTCTATGAAGTGGTCCACTCTTGCTAATATTGACTTTTTGAATATCCTTATTGTGGCAAATTAGATAATCCTAACTATCAGTCAAAAACTGCTTTAACTGTAACTGTGGTTTAGATTCTTGTCAGTTTTAGTGACTTAACAATTCCTTCTCTATCAGTGTCTCATTGAAGATTAGCAGAAAAAAACACGTGTTTCTCCGACAATGCAAACACAGCGAACCATGAAGACTCGTTAGGGGGAAAACCAGTGTGAAGCAGTGAACCTCAGGCATGTCCTCCCTTTCAATCTGGAAGAAAAGAGATCTCCTCTCCTTGAGGAGACGGAGCATGAGGCGTCTCCAAGTCTATTTTTCTCTCTGCTTCATTCTCTTGCCAGAGTTTCACCTCGTCTTCTTACTCCTGACTTACTTCTTCCTCGTCTTCTTCGTCTCCCACCCTGTCGTCATCTTCCGCCTGCTCCAGGGCGCTGAAGCGCTCAACCACGCAGTGAGCCGTGAGCCTGGCCTCGGGGTCGTGATCCCAGCACTCAGTGATGGTGGAACAGAAGATGTTCATCCCCTAAAGAAGATCAGCGTTAGATCCAAAGGCTTCATTTGAAGACAGTGATGACTATAAGCTTGTAACGAGCAACTCTTACAATCTGATTTGGTCACGATTAGGCACATTTTGAATATCTTTGTAATTGATTTGTGAGTTTTTACACCCTGAAATAAACCATGTAAAAAATTTATTCCCTGGTATATGATTGGCTGAATTGTGAGTGGGCAGTTGACAGTGGCCATAAGCCTAAACTTTCAGTTTGTCTGTGTCTCTGATTTTTACTGCACTTTTACTTTTTTACTGACCTGGTGCTGCGTCCATGCTAGTGGGATGTCCGGACGTCCTCGGTCTCTCAACACCAGATCTCTCATGCTATCCACACAGGGCTGCTCACAAACCTTGGAGCCAAATGCTGGCTCATAGCTCTTTACCTCTGCAGCAATACACACACACACACACACACACACACACACACACACACACACACACACACACATTTATCATAAACTTTTTTTTCTGCAATGGGAGTTGTCTGACCTGTAACTGAACTTGCAGCTGTTGTCACAGGGACTACCTTTAGTTCAGCTGCACCACTCCCCCCACACTTTGGAGCAAACTTCCAAGATCGAAATTTCAGTCTTCAACCGGAGGTCATGCTTAAATCAAGTTCCGGGGACAGTAGCCATCATTTCACTTTTATGCACACGTCAACACGCCGTTTTTGTGCTAAGCTCTAAAGAACAGTGAAGAGTGCAAAGAGGTTTTGGACACATGCAAAAAACTAAGAACATCTGTCCCACGTCACCTCTTTTTTTCTTTTTTTCCCTTTTTTTTGATAAGACAGAGATCTAGTCTTTCCCCGTTTGAAAAAAACAGTGGAAAGCAAAGCAGAATTAAGCACTTTTACCCTACAGATTTAGAAAGATTACATGTCATTATATTTGTGTATCAAATTACATATGCTAACTATATCAACCACACAAGCTGTAGGCAAGGAAAGCACTTTGGGCCACGCAAGATCAGTTTTAAACAAAGAAAGTGCAGGAAGCAGGCTGAGCATTACAGCCAGGGGGTGCTATGCCGTGAAGCAACTGGAGAAAGTCAGAGACTTTGGTTTTGGTTCACTTCCAGTCAAAGCAAACATACAAACGGGCTCCAAAAAACTAAACTAACTCCACCTCTTCATTCATAAAGGAAGTCTCCATGTGTTGGATATCAGTAAGTCAAAGGTTGCATACTGAATCTGTTTTGTTTTCTTTTACTTTTTTCCCTCCTTGTGGTAAGCACAGCAGAACACATTTAGTTTACTTCTGTGGTCATAGCCTCCTTTTGGACTCTGATTGATCACCTCCTTCTTTTTTTAACATAGGACTGCACAATGACTGGCATCACATCTTTGTATGGTCTTGGGCCTTAACCTAAACTGTGAAAAACATGGGGTGGCAGGTCCTCTCTATGAAGGATTTGTTCTCTTGATCTACAGAAACACAGAAAAGAACACATACCTCCAATTGCATTGCATCGAGAGGCCATCTCCCACAAGACTAGAGCCATGGAATAAACATCCATCTGTTTAAAGGCCTCGAGATCCTCCAGGTTCACCCTGGACTCAAGGACCTCAGGAGCCATGTAGCGAGCTGTCCCCACCTAGACAGAATGATAAACTCTTTTTTTGGTGCCATGCAAACAGCACATCAGACAGGTAGGCATAATAGTTTGGGTCATGGGTGTATTTAATAAAAATATTCAAACACAAACTGCACAGATATGCACAGATTACCTGTCCACTGTTGGCATAGTCATCAACTGTAAGGGACAGGTCCAGTCTTAAAGCCAGACCAAAGTCACACAGTGCGCACTCTTTCCTGCTCTTTACCAGGATGTTACTGCTCTTGAGGTCCCGATGGGCCACTGGTACCTACAAAAACAAGCAATTCTCAAAACAACAACTTCAGCAAGGAGCCAAAAACTGTGCCCAAAATCAATCCTGCAGATTCATATATATTCATATCAGATAGAGATAAATCTGTTTTGTGAAAATATTGCTGCTGTGGTATCTGTATCATGGTCCACATCCATACAATGAATCATGAGGCTTTGAGGTTTCAAACAATGCATGATTTCATTCACAATAGGCAGCATTGATTTAAAATATACTGGTAGAGTTTTCTTGGCCAGCATTTGTCAATTTAAATGGCTTTGTCCAAATCTATGTGAACCTGGAGAAAACAGTAATTAAATTGCATTATATGCTTAGGCCTTGGTCTGACAAGAGCACCTTATCATCCTCTATGAGTTCAGTGAATTATGTGTTGTTAATTTACTGACATAGATACAGCAGTCTACTACCTGGGAATGCAAGAATATACACTTGTGTCCTTAAGTTTGGATATTAGGAAGAAGCTGTAGAGCAAAGATTGAAAAAAGAGAGAAGAAGAAGCTAAAGAGCATAGGCCTTGTGTTTGGCTAACCAAGACGAAGTATACTTTTTACCGTTGTTTATCTGAGTTGTAAACAAATGATTTTAGCCACACTTCCCTTTGGCATAATAACCACTATAATCACCCTGAGTCATATATGTATCCAGTGTGGGTTAAGTGTACTGTGCGGTGGTCAGGACTAAGTTAGAAATCTGATCTGGCATTTCATGAATGACTGTAGGTGTGCGTATAGAGCCAAAGCTTCACTTAAGCAAGTCTAGTTTTAACTAGCTTCTTTGTAAATGCAATCTCTCAGCCAGCATTTGTTCCATTAAATCTGCTTTAGAAGTTAATAAATGGCATTGAAACCTTTGTAATGTAAAAAGGGGGTAATTCATAAACATACAAAGCATACAAACATTTCATTGCTGGCGTTCAAATCCTTGAATAACTGCAACTTATTTAATCAAAGCCATGCAACTCAAAATTCATCCATGCAATGTACTAAAATCAAAGTTAATACTTGATGACTAATAATTAATTTGACTATTTTCAGGAGTTATATTTCTTTCTAGAACAATCATGCTCAATAATATCTTAAAGACCTTATAGCAACATATTATCCCAGACTGTGGGCTTACTTGTGATTCCTATGGGAGATAGGGTCTTCAGCTTCGGTGTTTGATACCACTATTGTAGTTTAATTGTTAGTAATTCGTTTAAAATTCTGGCTCATTCCCTTTCCCTTTGAAGCATCTTGAGACTACTGTTGTTATTATTTGGTGCTATACAAATGGAATTGAACTGAATCTAAACTTCATAGTGGATTCCCTTCAGCTCTTCGTTGGAACCATCAATAATAATAAATCTTAGAAGATAATAGGTTAAATTTACCTTTGGTAGCCCACTGAGTGTTGTGTCACTATGAAGGTGAGCTAATCCTTTAGCAATGCTGCCTGCCATGGCAACAAGTTCTTCCCAGCTCAATATGTTAGCTGTGAGGAAGTCCTGCAGATTTCCTAGGCTGTGATAGGCTAAAACCAGCCAGTAGGTGTGTGGGGTGTGGCCCGACAGGCCCCTTTCCTCAGCTGCTAGGAACTGAATCACATTATCGTGCTGTAGCTTGGGGTCAGCAAAGATGGAGCATTCATTTCTCCATGAGGCGTACTCCACATCCGGAAACACCTTCACCGCCACAGTTTCATAGCTATTAACTCCACCTTTCTCGCCCTGGAGCAGCCATCCCCTCCACACTTCGGCAAAGCGCCCCTTCCCCACGAGCACATCCAGTTTGATAGGTAGCAGTTCAGCTGGCTGGCCCTGCCAGCTGGTCATACCACTGATAGTGTCACTGTTAAGAGGTTGAACCTTGGTGTTCAACTCATCCTGTTCAGCATCAGTCACACCTCCTCCTCCACCTTCTCCCTGAGCACCCAGGCCCCCACATGGTAGATCCAAGGCCTGGTAAAGCTCAGGGGTGCGTTTAGTGGGCCAGTCAGGGCATACTGACGGAGCTGGTTTGTCAGGACGATGTATGCGGTAGAAATAGAAGGCAGCAATGGCAACTATGGCCACCAGAATAGGGGGCACCAAACTAACCACTACCACAGGGATCACATCCTTACTTTGGAGCGGTAAGAATCCTGCAGGAACAGAGGATTTTATCAGTTAACCACTGATTTAGCTACCTGTTCATTGTTTTATCTATTCATCCACCTAGCTGGATTTCATTATATTCACATATGTATCTTTTCATGCATTTATTCTTTCCCACACTCCCTCGTTCCTCCTTCTCTTCACCATTTGCTCCCTTGTCGAAGACAAGTTTGTCGTTACATTCATGTTCACCCTGACATCCACAGACCATCATGGAGTCATTTGCAGCCTGTGGGACCATACGACACTCCCTGGAAGTGAAGGTCTGCAGCAGGTCAGGACTGATACCATCCAGTGGCAGATTTGGGTGGTGACACATTGTGTACACTGTCATTGTGTTGTTTGCCTTCCTCCTGGAAGAGCAGACAAAAAAATTAGAAACATTAGAAAGTAACGCATGTGACTGGCTTTACTTAAAGAGGAGTTTACATCCTGCTGATGTGAGAGAGATGAGACATCATCTCTCCAGCCTGACGCTCAGCAGATTTAGACTTCATGCCCACTTGGCTTGTGAACAGCCACGGATTGCATCACAAAGCTGAAGGTCAACACTGCTCTGTGCTCTGCCATTTATTACATTCATACATTTATCTTTGAATCCATTTATACAGTCATCAAGACAGCTCTGACTGAGGACAGTCACGAGACTAGCAAGGAGACTTGCAGACCAGCAACCTGTTGAGGATGTACCCAGTCCCTCTCACTATGGACTGGACAAGCAGAAGAAAGTGGATGGAAGTTCAGCCCTTCTATTACCCCTGCTGTTAAATATGTTAATGTGTAACTGTCCAAAAAGAAAATGCACCCCATCTTCCTCCACTTATCCAGTTCAGCCAGGGCTGGAGCGTTTTCCAGCTGGCAAAAGGTATAGTACACCCAGGATGAGTTGAGAGTTTGCTGCTGGGCTAATTCAGAGAGACAGACAATATTCAAACTAACATTGATGTACAACTTACAATCACCAGTTAATCTAATATACATGTCTTTGGACTGTGAAAGGAAGCTGGGAAACTACATGAGCACAGGGAGAACATACAGACTAACTCCTGGAATGTTAATTTGCATCTAAGCTAATTTTATTAAAGCTATTATACTATAACATTTTTTTCTTTTGAAAAACAATCATTTCAGAGAATCACTGATTTGTTTATTACACCCGATTTGGGCTTGTACAAGACCACAGCTACATGGTGATGTTCTCATGTCTTGTAGTTTTCTATAAACTAACGCTTGAAGAGGCCTGAGTCCGGGGTCTTTTTTACAATACAAGAGAATAATAGAATACTGGCTACTGGCTACTGCATTATTAATAATGTTAATAAAAGCAATCTCTAAGCTCATCCCAAAGTCTGCTCACAAGCCAGCTGTTCAACAATCTGTAGGGTTGTTTGTTTGTTGTTGCTTTTGACCATTTTTGGTAGTATTTTTTCATCTTCATCCAATAAACACATCAAAGAGTAAAGCAGAAAATAAAAGTACCTCAAACCTTCACTGAGCTACAGTACGTGAGTAAACAGAGTTTTGAATCTTTGCACCACTGATGCAAAGATGACACCAGTGAAGTGGAGTTCACACAAACACCACGTTCCTGACAGAGAGTCTACAGACTGTGTATATTTGCCCTGAATAAACCAATTTTCTTCTCCTCTTTTCTTCTGTCAGTTCTCTATTGCTGGTTTCCTTCAGAGAGCTGGGAGGGTCAGGCTGGCTCACGTGCACAGGAAATGAGAGGGGGGGGGGGTGTAGTGAGGGGATCACAGTGTAGGACTGCTATCCAAACAAAACTACCAATCAGCAAAAACTTTCCAGTCATGAAGAAAGCAGCAGCAGAAAGCTGGCGTGAAGTTTTGAAGCTACAGAGATTCTCTCTAATAGAAAAATTAACCAACAACTATGAAAAAGGCCAAACTGTGGTCACATGTTTTGTTTGCGTTCGTGCGTGTGAGACTGTGTGTGTTTTCATTTAAGTCCAACAGTAGCACGCTGAGAGAAATCACTTCAGGATGTTTCATAATACTGATCGACACCATATTGAACCAGCTCGGCTGTACTGTTCTCTTATCTGCAGACTCATGGGACAGTGCTGAAGAATAACAATGTGGGCATGGTCATTTTATAGCATTTCTATGGATGTTAGAGGCTTCAGGATGTGCTGTATTAAACAAATAACAAAACAGTCAGCTAGAAAACATCAAACTGAGAAAGGTAAAAACTACCATGTGTCTATTTTCTCATGTAGTTACCTATATACAGGTTAGGTCATAGGCTCTGTAAGTTTCCCCACAGAAGATAGACAAAACAAATTATAGGAATATAAGTTACTCAAAAAGGGTCTCACCATATGGCCATGCAGATCTCTTCAGTGGTGTTACAGAAAGAGCTCAAGTTGCAGTTGCTGGAGCATATGTTGCCTTCGCACACCGGCGTGGATACCTCACACCACCTGCATAAATTGAAGCTCAGGTGGCTTAAAGACTGGACATCAACTGGAAGACCTTCAGGGTAAGAAAAGGATGAATCAGAAATCAGCAGGAAAAATAACAACATGAGTCATTTCAGCCAACCCCAAAGCTCATCTGTAGCAGCCGTGGGAATTATGCTGCAGGACCAGAGGTTTATGGTTTAGTATAAACACATATAGTATGAAGTTGGTGTCGACAAACACAACGCTTTAACAAGATCCCTGTTTATTTCCTGTTTCCACTCCCATTCTGTTGTATAAAACACCGGCCCCAATCTTTCTTGCGCCACGGACCGGTTTAACGTCAAACAATATTTTCACGGACCGGCCTTTAAGGTGTCACGGATGAATACAACAAAATAAAATGATACGACCAAGACAAAAACTGTGGTATTTTGTAAATATAATAATAAACGCAAATTCACTGTGTAATTGTGTTACTTTATTAGCAGCGTCCTCCTGAAATGCGCCAACAACACTGAGAGTGACGTCGTCCTCTCTGTCCCTTAATGCTCTCTGGTCGCTATGGCAACGCGTATACATTTATTTCAAAATAAGACACAACTACAACACGGGGAAAGTTGGTATAAAACGTTTTAGGCAGTGGAGTTAGTGATCTCATCCGGTTTTCACAATTTGAAAAAGGCACAAAAATGCTACTTATTCACTAAAGTATATCTTAGGATAAAAATTAAAACAGGCAGACCATTTTCAAACTGTTTATATGCTGGTGCTCCATGGATCACAAGGTGGATGGTGTCACTCATCTCTGGCCTGATGGATGTGACATTCAAATCAGTCCATGAGCCACAAATGTCATTTATATGCAATGCATGGCAGAGCTTTAACTTACATTTGTGCGCACACGTTTTGTTTTCACAAGTGTTCCTGAGCGTGTGTCTGATTTTAATGCCGTGCTGAAGCCTTTCAGTACTGGTTTCCAGCCTCATACCCTTCTCACAAGGGGATTTCATTGGATTATCCTTTAACGAGCTTTCCTTTAATTCTTCTAGATTTTATATATCATACATACAACTATTTGGCTGCACAGTTCCTCACACATTGCTTAACCTCCTCCCACCCTTACTTCTGAAACACTCTTTGATGCCAGTGTTACTCACCTGTTGGCGACAATTCCAATTATTTCTGGGATGTACCATCTGTTTTCAAATCAAATCAAATCAACATTTCTGCATTTAACATGTTCAGTTAACAATCTGCATCAAATGACTAAGAGATCATTGCACTGTGCTTTTAATTCCTTTTTACACAGTGTTATGACTTTTATGGAAATGGATCAGTGTGGCACAGAGTAAAAAAGGTTTTACATGAAACATAAAAGACATATGTGACTTCTGTGTCAACCCCTGCCTGACTGGTAACCCAAAAATCCTACTTCATTAATAACATTGCTTAGGTCACAGAGGAGATTAGCTTTGAGGCTTGTGATATGTGATAATATAATGACAGCTGAAAGTGTTGAGGGCAACAGACAGCTGTGTTCTCGGTTTTAGCTGGAGGTTCCAACATAGTAAAGTTCAAAACATCCTACTGCATCAGCTCTGCCACGTACAGAATTACATAAAGTGAATGTGACTTAGAGCAGGATATGGGTGTGTCCCTTTGGAGTTGAAAACTGTTAGCAAGCAGTCTCTCAAAGAAATAAGCAGACTTTATTTCTTTGTGTGCGGTTTTAGGCTTTGGTATTTGTACTATGTGGTTGTTGTGTATTTGTCTGTAGAGTAAGTGAATATCTTTACACTATGCTTGAGCTTGCATATGCGTGTGTTGCTCTGCCAGATTGCCATCCCACCCACATGACACAGATATAATGGCCCAAGCAACAAACATGCTGTATTTATGATATCATGCATTCCCAGAAGAGTCAAAGTTTTAATGATGCTGCTGTGTAAAAACGTTCTGCTGAAGGTAAAAGTCATGTAAATGCAAAGTAGCCATTCTGCAGCGCAGTTTAATTCATGTATATTGAGGTTCTGTCTTTATACCATCTACAAAGTAACTAAAGTAACAGAAGCAGTAAAAAATTATTAAGTAAAAAGTAGAGTGGAGTACAGGGTATGATATTTATAATTCAAGTGTGTAGTAACAACATAAAGTGGCATAAAATGGAAAGCTAAAATGGGTCCTCTCAACGACACAGGCATACACAAACAGAAATCCCAGTGTTGCATGGATATCTATGTAAACATGTACTCAATTACACACACAAACCCAACCACAATGCATTATAATTAGAAATGCTCTACACACACATACAGAGTAGTACACATAAACACACAGCAGTTCATTAACTCTGTAACACACAAATGCACATACAAATACACGCACACACACACACACACACACACACACACACACACACACACACACACACACACACACACATAGGGGAAGCAGTTCCAGATGTTTCTTCCAAACTGGGCTGAAGACAAAGGAAGAAAGAGTTGGGATTTAAAAAGCTTGAATCAGCATCACAGGCTCTGCGTGTACTCAAATGTTTATCTTTGTAAGGGTCAGTACGAGTTTTAGAGACTGGGTATGTGGACATTTGTGGAAAGTTAGTAACTTTCAACTGGTCCCAATTTAGGGACCCGTCTTCAAAGGCTGTCTGCAGTTAATTTACTTTATCAGATACAAAGTCTAACATCATCCAAAAACTAAACATATTACATGATGTTAACTTTAATAACATGTTAATAATACTATCATTGTAATATAAAGTAAAAAAACAAACTAATGTTACTAAGTAGGCTAGAGTATAGTTTCCTTTCAGGTCGAGTGCTACTACCACTTACTTGCATCATCATTCATTTATACTCATGCAGCTGTGACAGCATGGATACCTAAAAAGGCCATTTAAAATATCAGTAACCCTACAAAAACAAAGTAGAATAAGCACAACAAATATCACACAATATTAAACACACTCCCAAATATTTGAGAGGTAAATATCATGTTATTTAATGGTTAATTACAGTTTGGAGTAAAAATACATCAACATGTAAATGATGATGTATTATCATGTCATAATGTTACCCAGCAGTATCCAGCAGTTACAGGCAGCATCTGTTATATACATAAATATATTAATGCATTTATAACCATAATGCAAATAACTAATCATGCATGTTAAGTGCTTTTATTTTTTGGTATTTAATTATGTAAAGCTTTGCTTGCGTGATTTCACTGGTAACAGGACATTTACATGATTGAATTACTAAAGCAAAAGTTCTAAATACTTGTCCCACCCTCTGCAGCTATAATATGGTTGAGGTTGAGGTTAGGGTAGGTGGCCTGGACTGCATTAAGACCCTCAAGAGTTAGAAGTACACACATGTGTGTGTGTGTGTGTGTGTGTGTGTGTGTGTGTGTGTGTGTGTGTGTGTGTGTGTGTGTGTGTGTGTGTGTGTGTGTGTGTGTGTGT